TAGCACCTGTAGGGCCCTCTCCACGAGCACCGGCTCCCGCAGGGTCTGCAGCAGGCTGCAAGGAGTACTGCGGGGAAGGAGGCTGCACCTGAGGGGCTACCGAGGGGGGAGGGGTAGCCTGGGACACACCTGACGGGGCGGGACCAGAGGGGGGAGGCTGTACCGGGGGAGCAGGAGGGGGAGCGGAAGTCAGGAAGAGAGGGGGAGGAGGAACCGGGAGACCTCGACTGGGGTACCTGACGTAGTAGGGGGTGGACTCCTCGAAACGGACGTCACGGGAGTCAAAGAACCGGTGAGAGGGAGGGTGGTAAAAGGTGAAGTCAGAGGAGTCCTCAGGGAAACCAAGGAAGACACAGGGAACGGCGTGAGGCGAGAGCTTGTCCGCGGAAGTGTCGCGGACAAGAGCCAAGCAACCCCAGACACGAAACCTCGATGCAACACCAGGGGACCCGGTCCAAAGACTGGTCGATGAAGCCTCTGGCCGAGAGACGCGTGGCCAGAGGTTCAGCTGGTGAGCGGCGTACCTAACCGCATAGGGCCACAGAAAATGGGGGGCACGGGCGTGAGTCAAGGAGGTGCGGGCGATCTCTATGACCAAGCCTATGCGGCGCTCAGCAACCCCATTCTGCTGTGGGGACTCTGGAAGCGTCCAGGACTGACGAATGCCCTGCTCGCGACAGAATCCAGCGAGAATGCCGGAGCGAAACTCACCCCCACGGTCAGAGTGAAGACAGCTGACACGACGACCACGAGTGCCCTCAGTGGTAAGCAACCACCTGATCAGCGTAGAAGTCACCTCAGACTTCTTCGCCAGGGGGAACACTGTGGTGTAGCAGGAGTAGCAGTCAATGACCACAAAAAAGAAACGCTCGCGCTCAGGGCCAAGGCGAGGGGCGGGGCCCCAGACGTCCAAGTGGAGCGTCTCAAAAGGCTCGGTGGCCGGACGAAGGGAGGAGGAGTGAGGGGTGGCGCGCAGCCGACCCTCGACGCAGGGACCGCACGGCGGTGCAAGCGAAGGCGGCAGCGACGGCAAGACACGCGAGAGGCCTAAGACAAGACGCTCACGAGACATAGCGCGCAGACGAGGGAGGGACGGGTGCCCCGTCCGGTGGTGCCACAGAACGGTGGGGTGTGCAAGCGACCGGCAGGAGCACGACGGAGCAACTGGACCAGACACGGGAACCTGACCAGACACAGCTACCTGGGGGGACGCAGCAACCTGGTGAGACACAGGGACCAGACTAGGGGAAGTAACCGGGGCCGGGGGCAGGAGTCGCTGTTGCTACTGCTGCTGCCGGTGCTGCTGCTGCCGCTGCTGCTGCTGCTGCTGCTGCCTCTGCTGCTGCTGCTGCTGCTGCTGCTGCCGCTGCTGCTGCTGCTGCCCACCAGGGCCAGTGTGAAGTGTGTCGAGACCAGAGCCCGGCTCGGCAGTAAAGGTGGCAAGAGGTGAGTAAGTGTCGCCGTCAAAACAAACTGCCATCTCACCAGAGGGCTCAATCCACACACCCGCGTGCTAACTCACAAGAGGCCTCACGCCCACCAAGTTCCTCGAGGACGAGGGGACGTGGAAGCGAGTCACAGACCCAGAGGGAACAGCAGGGCAAGGAAGAGAAGTAGTGTAGCGAGCAGTGACTGGTCCTGAGGTGGGATCAGCCAGGGCCACAGAGACTGGCGCAGGAAGTGGAGTAAGTGTCGTGTGGTCGCGGAAGAAGCAGTGCGAAGCCCCAGAGTCCAGAGTGAAAGACAGCGAAGTGTCCTCCGAAGTAGCGCCTGGACTAGTGTCTACACAAGTGCCTACACTAGCAACAGGCAACTCAGCAAGACTAGCACCTAAGCTAACAACACACGAGTAAACAGAGTCAGAAGCACTAGAATCAACAACAGCATACATAGCATGAGGATTTCCTAAGAGATCAAGCAACTGAGAAGCAGACATGCCCCAAAGAGCGGAGCCGTACGTCTGAACAAGAGGTAACCAGTCAGGGGCAGGGCCGCCAACGCCGAAGGCCAAGCGAACCGTGTCAGTGAGCTGAGCAAAGCACTGACCAGGAGGGTGGGTGCAACCACAAGGCTGGCCTCGGCGAGCACCTGTCAGAACCTGATAGGTGCACGAAGGGTGAACAACACCTCGCTGGGGCGGACGCTGTCCCAGCCCCGAAAACTGCTGCTGCGGGGGCTGCTGCAAGGAGAGGGGCTGCTACTGCTGCACCTGCTGCTGCCGCTGGGCCAGGTACCACACCGCTGCTCCACCCACCGCGGCCGGCAGACCAGAAGGAGTCTAACGAGTCCGGGTGTCGCCTCCACCAGCTGCAGTAGGGGAGTCACTGGCTGCTACACGAGACGCCTCTCCAGGCCCTGCGCTCCCGCCGCCACCGGTCGGCACGCCACCCCCACCACCTCCGCCACCAACGCCGTCGCCGCCGCCTGCACCCTGACCGCCCCTCCTGCCACCCCTACCTCGAGACCGCGACGTAGTCGTAACAGCAGCTGCAGTCACGTCAGTAGTGGCAGTGGCTAGCGAGGCAGTAAAAGTGGGCAGCTGAGGGACAGTGCACCCGTGAAACAGTGGAGGGGGCACAGCACCAGAGGCGGAGGCTACGGAGCGGAGGTTGCTCTCGACGTCCTTGAGCGCAAACTCAAGGACCTCGATAGTGAGCTCACTAGGGTGCTTCAGAAGAAGCGTGTCACGAACCAAGGCAAGGCGGTCAGGGAGGCTAGTGGCAATGAAGTAGATAGTAATCGCCATAGGAGGGGGAAGCAGTGCAAGCTGTGCGTCAGTGCAAGCAGCGCGGTAGCTAAAATCGAGCGAGCGGAGGTGAGCAATCAAGTCAGCAGAGCGCTCAAACGAGGCGAGGTCAGGGAACAAGAACGGTAGGTAGAGGCGGCCAAGGGAGACAGTGGTGGGAGTAGCGTAGCGGGCCTTGATCGCAGTCAGGAACTCACTAGCAGTGCGAACCTGAGTGAAGTGGGCCTCCTCAGACTCAGGGAGGAGGCTGCTAAGAGCGATGCAGGCCGCAGCGTCACGCGACTTCCACGCCGTCAGGTCAGCACGCTGGCGGGTAAAGCGGTCTCTGGCGGCGGCGTCAGGGGCAGGGCCTAAAGGCGTAGGGTCGTCGGGCGCAGGAAGGTCACCAGTAGCGTGCGCCCAGAGGGACTCGCCCGCCTGGACCTGACTCTCTAGAAGGCGACGCGCGCGTAGGAGCTAGACCGGAAACTCGAGCGGTCTACCGTCAGCGTCAAAACGAAGAACCCTAGGGGTCGCCATAGCAAAAGCAAAGAGGTGGGAAGTGCTGCTGCTAAAACCCTAATCACTGAGAGCGACTCAGTAGGGCGCTACGGGACATAGGGTAGGGCGCTACGGGACACAGAGTAGGGCGCAACACTGCTGGACTAGGAGGGCGTAGCGCCACGGGCAGGGGTAGCGCGACGCGACGCAGCGGGACAGGATGGGCAGCGCGACACGACGCGACGCGACGGGACAGGACAGACTGCGCGACGCGGACGGGCAGCGCGACGCGACGCAAAGGGACGGGATGGACGGGCAGCGCGACGCGGACGGACAGGACGGGACGGGACGGACGGGACGGGATGGGACGGACGGACGGGACGGACGGACGGGACGGGACGGGACGGGACGGACGGACGAGACGGGACGGACGGACGGACGGACGGGACGGGACGGGACGGGACGGACGGCGCGACGCGGACAAGCAGCGCGACGCTGACGGACGGGACGGGACTGAAGGCGCGACGCGGACGGGCAGCGTGACGCGGACGGATAGCGCAGCGGGCGCGAGGGCGCGAGAGCGACGTAACGGCAGGCGCAGCGGGCGCGAGGGCACGAGAGCGACATAACGGCAGGTGCAGTGGGCACGAGGGCACGAGAGCGACGTAACGGCAGGCGCAGCGGGCGCGAGGGCACGAGAGCAACGTAACAGCAGGCGCGATAGGCGCTAGGGGACAGTACGAGCGTAACGGGCACTAGGGTACGGGACAGGCTCGGGCGCTACGGACGTGAACGAGAGGAACGGGATCCCACAGGATCCTAACCTAGGTGATACCATGTCAAGAATGAAAGTTTTGGTTCATTGATGTGGGTTGGGGTACATATAACAAACCCGAACATCTGTACCCCCTACGACAAACCTCACTACAGGCTACAACATTTGACACCCCCAATCCCCCCCCCCCCCCCCCCCCCTCTCCCCACTACCCCTCCCCCCTCCCTCCCCCCCCCCACTACCCCCTCTTCCCCCTTCTCGTCAAACCAGGGCTGACGCTATCAGACTAAATAGTCTGATTAGTCTGACCAATCAGAGCATTGAGGTTGTGGAAAATGGATTTGCAGAGTAATTAATATTTAATCCCTGAGGGCCTCAGTGTTATTGTTTGTAGGCCCCTAATATAGTGGAATAGGCATCAGACTTAGTCGTTTCCGGAGTCTGGCTCTACAGAGTATACAGTATGTGGTCCCTGTATGCCGGTGTATCGGGAGGAAGCTTCCCCGAAATTTCCGAAAATACCCCCCCCTCCCCCCCCAAAAAAAAAAATTTCCCACGCGTAATCATTTCCCCACCCCCCGTGGTTGTCTTCTTGTTCGCGTGGTCTCGAAACCACCTAATGTTGACAAAATCTGTTGGTGCGCTGTGCACAGCAAGGCAGCCAGGTGCGGCGTGCTGCAGCCAGCATGCCAAGTTTGATGATGACTCTGCAGCCACGCGAACCGCGCCACCTTCACTTAATGTGATGGGTCGATCGCGATTGGTGGCATGGCGCACCAGCTATGTGTGGTGGCATTGTGGCAGATGAATTTGGCCCTGAATCCAAAGCCCGATTCATTCAGCAATCCCCACCCCACTCTGTGAGCCATTGTCGTGGCGTCGCGGCTTTCGTTCCGTCTGCTGCAGCTGGTTCTTTCCAAGCTGAAGGGCCTCCCCCATTTTCACTTGTTGCTTTCATTCTTGTGCATTCAGTTTCATGATTCATCCTTCTCTCTCGCCATGGCGTCCTTATCTCCCGCGGAGGACTCGCCTGAGGCCGTCCCGGAAAAGCCTCCCGATCGTAGGGTTAGCGGCCTAGACTTCCTTCGACCGAGTGTAGCTCCAGTCACTCCAGAACCTTTAGTTACCGCTGCTGTTGTTAACACCGAGGAGTTACCGTCGTCCAGCAAGGATCCGCAACCGGCCCCCAATCTCGCGCCTGCTCTAGCGCAGTTCACTCTCCCTCCCGCCATCGCGTCGTCTAGCAAGGGGCCGCAACCTCCTCCCAATCCCGCGCCACCACCAGCGCCGTTCACTCTCCCTCCCGCCATCGCGTCGTCTAGCAAGGGGCCGCAACCTCCTCCCAATCCCGCGCCACCACCAGCGCCGTTCATTCTCCCTCCCGCCATCCCGTCGTCCAGTAAAGCGCCTCCCTCTGCAGTTGGTAGCAGCGGCTGCAACGATGCCGCTCCCGCGTCCGAGGGTCGTACAGCTAAGAAGGCGCGCACTGTCGTACTCCGCGGGAAGTTTCAGCAGAGCACGTTGACCTTCGGCGGTGTGCGCGTGCCACCACCAAGTGCTCCAGAAGACTCCGAGCCCGAACCAGAGGAACCAGAGGAGATACCTGTATGTGCGGACACCAACTCCCCCGTTCTGTCCAAGGCTGAGATAATGGAGCAGAAGTACATAGAGGCGAGTGTTAAGTATAACACCCAGTGGTTGCCCAAATTCCCGTAGCTGCTCTTGGTTCGCGCTAAAGACGGTGGTCCCAGTGTAAAGTGCAGCCCGTGTCTCTCGTTCGGCAAGGAGACAACCAAGTACTCAGGTCCAGGCGACGGCAGGCGAGACCTGCAGACGCAGACGATGCGCATCCACAAGCACACGACGGTCCACAAGGAGGCGATGCAGCGTCAGGCAGAGATTGCGGAGGCGATTTCGAACGGCCAGACGAAAATTGATCGTTTCATCAACGCGGACGTTGAGGGTCGGCGGGCGATTCGGCTGATGAGGTCGGTGCAGTTTCTCTGCCAGGAGGACGCGCCCATCAGCATGTTCTCGAAGCTCATGAGGCATCTCGCTGAGCAGGACACCCCCGACATACCGAAGCAAGCCTACAGGGTGTACCTCACGAGGTGGGTTTAGTACGGTTTTTCATTTAGGTAACGTGTGTTACGTGTCTTTCAAAACTAACGTCCAGGTTCTTCGTATCCATTGCAGATACGGTTTCCAACAGATGGTGCACTGCCTGAGCACCTGGTTGACTCAGACGCAGATGGAGCACATCGCCTCGTCGCCCTTCCTCCGCTTGAGCACAGACGAGAGCACCGACCAGACCCGCGGGAAGCACATGATTGTGTACATCACGTTCTTGCGCAATCGTCGAGTCGTAACTGAGTAGCTCGCCCTTCTTACTGTCAAGCGGTGTGATGCAGCTTCTCTCTTGTCGGTGCTCCTGAACCACCTGCACACCGCCAACATTGACATCAACCGAGTGGTGGGCATCAGCACGGACGGCGCGTCTGTAATGATTGGATGCGACAACGGCCTCGTCACAAGGCTGCGGGAGTATGTGCCACATCTGGTGTCAACACACTGCATCGCCCACAGGTGATATAATCATTTACCGCACCTTCATCTCGCTTTATTTACCACGCCTCACGAAGACCCCGACGGATACTAATCATTGGTTTCTTGGAATTTCAAGGAGGCATTGGCGGTGAAGGACGCGGCCACGGCTAATCCCGACCTCGCGATGGTGGACACCGTGGTGCGCACTCTTGCTGAACGCCTTGGCGCCTCATGCCACTAGAGCCAGCGCTTCAAGTACCTTCAGCGCGTCATATACAACACGAACCTCGAGGTCCAAGGCATACACAGCGTGCGCTGGCTCTCCCGGGGCGACGCGGTGAAGCGTCTGTGCAAGGTGCTGGGCGCGGCGATTGTGCCTTTCCACGAGAAGGATCACGACTTGTACGAGACGGTGACATCGTACAAGTTCCAGTTCTGCCTCTTCTTCCTCGCTGAGATCCTCGGCGACCTGAACGATCTCAACCGTTCGTTTCATAAGCGGTAGGTGAGTTAGCGGTGTGTGGGTGGCTATGTTTGTTGTTTCATCGTGTCCTAATTCACTAGTTGTTGTGGACAGGTCGACGTTACTGAGGTGTCAAAAACCGTGGAGTCCATCACTGGCGACCTCGAGCACAGGTACCTGGACAAGAAGGCGGACTTCGGTGGTTCCGGCAATGGATGGCTGCCGAAATTCCTGGCGCTGTATGGCAAGAAGTCGGGTCAGACGGTCCGAGTGCGTGGCGCGGATTCGGAGGGCCGCCCTGTGAACCACTCGTACATCCTGCACAAGAGGAAGCTCAAGGACCATAAGTACAAGAGCGGCTACAAGGCGTGCGTGAAGCTGTGTCGCAAGTTCGCGACGGACGTCGTCGATCGTCTCCTGTTTCGCCTGGACGACCTGCGGGGGATGGGTCCAACGAAGCTGTTTCGCGCGTCTCAGTGGCCCAAGAGCAAGCACGCACGAGACCGCAAGTGCCAGGACTGGCTGACTGGCTGCGCCGCTCTGTTCAAGAACAAGCTGCCGGGGTTTGATCACAAGAAAGCGTCGCGGGAGCTGACAACCTGGTGCCCAATCATGGAGTCTCACCACGAGGAGGAGTCATTCGCGCAGGGACTGGCGAACTTCATGGGGAGCGGCGACGCCAAGAGGTAAGTCGACCTAGTCTACGTGTGCCACATGAATGTCTCAAATCTAACGCTTCGGGAAAACTGATGCTCCTTGTTTTGTGCAGGCACTGGCCCAACCTGTTGCTGATATGGCAGGCGCTGGCAGTCCTGCCACTATCCACTGTGGAGTGCGAGCGGGGGTTCTCGTGTCATAACGTGATCAAGTCGTGGATCCGTGGGTCTCTCTGCAACGCGCGGCTCGCAGAGCTAATGCAGATCTCGCTGTGGCAGTACGAGATGGACTGGCCTAGGGTGCTCGACACCTGGAAGAGCCCCAAGAAGAGGCGCCCTGCGCAGAGCGTTCTGTTCCCATCTGACGATCGCAAGCGTAAGGAGAAGGAACCGGAGGAGGAAGAGGAGGAACCCAGGGAGCCGGTGGGCGAGGAGGAGCTCACGGAGTCAGACGATGATCGTGACGACAACCTGGAGATGGATCAGGAGATTGAGCAGTCACCGCCCCAAGATTACTCAGAGGAAGAAGATAACCCGTTCCTCTCGGATGGCGAGGAGGGGGAGGAGATGTTTGACATAGATCAGCCGACAGAGTAGGATTCTTGGTGCTGTCTTATGTATTTCAAGACCCGGCCGGGCATTGTTGACAGTGCATGTGTAATAAATAAAAAATGGTAGAAGCAGATCTCTGATCAAAGTTCGCCAACCCTGTGACCACAGGGAAAGGGTTTTCTGGAGACTGAGCCATCAGAGTGGCCAAAATCTGGCCGAAGTGCCCTTAGAGTAAAAAAAAGAAAAAAATGAGCACCATCAGTGTACCCAAATTTGAAACGCCAGCCCTGCGTCAAACACCCCGTCGCGGTCCCAAATAGTACCATGCACGCCCTGCCGCGCGCCGTGCCGCACTCTGCCACACGTGCCTGCCTCTGCCGCACGTGCCTTCCTCTACCGCACGTGCCTGCAACACCCTTCCGCGCGCCCGGCCGCGCCCTGTCACGCGTGCCAGCTGCGCCCTGCACGCCGCCACGCACTCTGCCGTCGCGCCTGCCACACGCTCTGCCAAAACGACTGCTGCTGCGCCTGTCACGCGCCTACCGCACGCTCTGGCTCACTGCCTCTACCTGTCGTCTCCTCCACCTGTTGCTGTCCCCTCTCATCTTGCAGCTGTGCCCCTGCACACTCCTGTCATGGGGTTCGAGTTCGTCATGCGGCTCGATGCGGAGGGGCGGGCAACCGAATTACATGCATAGGCAGTTCCAGGACGACGCCTACCTATACGCCCACGTGTTAGATCAGCTACCCGCCCTCCCCCGTCCTACTGCTCTTGATGCTGGCACCACCTCGAAGGAGTAGAAGGTGCACCGAAACGCCCAGTTTGCGTAATCGGTTTGGGTTTTCCCTGACGCTGCTGCGCACATTGCTCTTCATCGCCTCTTGCGTCGACCGAGCGAGTGCACTTTTGCTAGGTCACGACAGCAAAGGAGTGCTGGGATGCTAGTATTCCTCGCTACTCCAACCCCTCCTTTGCTACCCTAGGGCTGCTCATCATGCCTTTCCTCTTCCCTGACCTCCTTGCCTTCTCCATTATCGTTGACTCACTACCCACCCGCGCTCGCTTGACGCTAGCTTCCGCGTTGCGTGCACTCATGACAACTTGCTGATCACACCTCCGCCCATGTATCTCACCCTGCACCTCCTCATGACCTGCTCTCCTGACCGCCCGCGCCTATCCACGTTGCCCTTCTCACCATGTTCCATATGCTCGAACTCTTTGAGACTGGCGTCACTAGCACCGAGACTTCCCTTCGCACCATCGCCTCCACTACTGGTATGGTAGTAGCCCCTATCTTTGACAAGTGCATTCCACCCTAGCTCTCTATCCTGTCTACCTTTGCTGCTGTTGCTGATCCTACTACTACAGCGGAGGTCCGAACCAGAGCCCACTCGCGGGCCCACCCTCTCAGCGGCTCGAAGGCATCTTGTGCGGACGCCGCCGAGGAACCTTCGATGCAAAAGGGAGAGCGCGTCCCTACACGAAGGAGCAGTTCTTGGAGATTTACCCCCACTGGCGCGACCCCACGAAGAAGCTTACCGTGGCGGAAGAAGAATAATTAGCGCGGCGCAAAGCGGAAGAGCTTCGCCAGAGGAGTCTCGTCGAATCACTCGGAACATTCGCCTGGACCGGTTGGGAAGAAGAAGAGAGCGCCTCCAATGAAGGGGGGTGGGGAAGCGCCGGCGGATAAGGAACGAGCGACACTGGCGGGTGGGGCGCCGCAACCGGCGGCAACACCGGCGGATGGGGCGCCACAACTGGTGGCGAGACAAGCGGCTGGGGCAATTTCGGCGAAGGCTTGGGGAATTCTGGTGAGGATCAAAGGGGGGGAGAAGTAGAAGAGGCACAACCTCCTGTTGCTCCTCTTGGTCGCCCCCCACACCGCCCTGCACCCGCGCTACCTCCACCTGACGTCCAGCCGCATCGCGACCCTTGGAACACCATCACCTGAGGCAATGAGCCCTCTACCCCGCGGCGCACCATTTACGGGCCTGACCCCGAGCCGCGCGAACCAACCTTTTGTCCTTGGAACCATCCCTGGGACCAACATTCCCTTCTCCGTAATTCTCGACAGGAAATTTTTGGCGCTAATGCTGACCACGGCGAACGGGGACGAAGAAGAAGAAGCGGTAGACGAAGCGGTAGTAGAACCCATCCCGATACCAGAATAAGGCCCCGAAGCTGTGCGCGCACCCTACATGCGCACCTTAGGACTTCACGCCAACGATGACCTTCGGCACTTGCGCCTCGGTCACCGCTCGCGTGTAACGCTGAAAAACTGCATCGAAGCTGTCGTCTCTGCGCCTGACGCACTCCTGCGTCCAGATGGCACCGAAGTGAGAAGCATGACACAGCCGCGCAACTGCACCATCTGCCCCGAAGCTGCGCTGAGTCACCAGCCATTCCCGCTGCTCAAACCTGGAAGCAATCGCTACCCCAAGCTGCACAAGGTGTACAACGACTTCCTCCACAAGGGCCATTGCGCAATCAACGACGAGCTGTAAACGCCCACCTTCATCGACGCGGGAACTTGCTATGTGTGAATCGTGAACGTGGAGGCGTGCAGCAGAGCGTACGAAGTCTTCCGTCTCTGGCTGGCGCATGCGCAGCGGCAATCCGGGGAGAAGCTGAAAATCTGGCAATCGGACGGCGCAGCGGAATTCAGGAGCAAGAAGCTGTAGGACTACCTGGCGCAGAAGGGAATCGAACACCACATTTCCCTCCCCTACACGCACCAGCAGCAAGGCGTAGCTGAGCGCACGAACCGTAAGCTCATGACGAAGGTGCGGGCGCTGATGAAGCAATCGAAGCTTCCGCCAATATACTGGACCTACACAATGCACCACGCCAAACGGGTGCACAACCTGTTATCAACCACCGCCATCACCGGCAATCTATCCCCGCATCTGAAGTGGACGGGCACCAAGGGCGACACATCCATGCTCCGCGTGTGGGGGTGCATGGTGCAGTTGCACCCAACAACATCAAATATCGGGAAATTCGCAAGCCGCGCGCGCTGGGGTATTCACCTCTGCATCAGCCACGAATACAAGGCGTGGCTCATCCTGTACCTCATTCGCCATAAGGTCACGAATGCGCGCGACGTCATCTTCTACGAGCGGCTATTCCTCCAGCGATTCCGCGAAGACAAGCGGGCGAACGCGAATCACGTTTACGCCAACGATGGGGACAGCTATGCCATACCTGAAGACGAAGCCGCCGCGGCTATCCTGGAGCAGGACACCAGAGGCGAATTTACAAGAGGCGATCGCCACATCAGCGACGACGATTCCCCTAGAGGAGGAATTGGCGGAGCAGGAGGAAACAGCAGAGGCGCAGCACCACCAGCACCACCTGAACCAGAGAGCGAGGATGATGACGTGCAGGAGGTCGTCGCGCAGCATTGCCACGACAGCACCGTTTCTGGACTGCAACTTCTCGGGCTCCACACCGCCACCTCAACGGCGCCACGTGTCATCGAGCCAAAGAATGCGCGCCAAGCTCTCACGGGACCACACAGCAAGGAATGGCGTGAGGCGATGGATGCAGAAATCAAGGCACTCGAGTCTCGCGACACCTGGGTGCTCGTCGATCGTGCCGCAATCAAGGGGAAAAGGATCCTTTCCAGCAAATGGGTCTTCCGCGTGAAGACCGCAGCGGACGGCACGATCGAGCGATTTAAGGCGCGCTGGGTCGTACGTGGGTACGACCAAAGGCACGGCATCGACTCCGACCAGATGTTTGCGCCAGTCAGCCGTCACACCTCCGTCACAATCCTGCTCGCCATCTCCTGGAACTCGCAGAAGCAGGAGCTGGTTGCTCTATCATCAGCAAAAGCCGAATTCATCGCAGCAATGGCAACTATTCGCGAAGGGCTCTACCTACAGGAACTGCTGCAGGAGGCGAAAATTGCAGCTTCACCGAGCTTCCGCCTTCACTGCGACAACTAGAGTGCGATGAAAATCGTAAACAAACCTGGATTTGTCAACCACACCAAGCACATCGCACTGCGGTACTTCTTCGTCAAAGACGAGGTTAGCAAGGGCAAGGTTGACTTGACCTACTGCCCAACGGTTGACATGGCAGCCGACTTTCTCACAAAGCGACTGCCACGTCAGCACTATCAGCATTGCCCCGAACTCAGCGGAGTGGTCAAACGGGTCACGACCAGCTACGGCCAGGGGTGAAGGGGGGTGTTACGAATAGTAAAGAATTAAGTATTACTGTGCACTCCTGACAGTAGCAATCGAAGCACGCAGTACTGAGGCTGAAGACGGAAAGGCAGAAGTGATATGAAGAGGCATACGTTTACGAAGTATCTGGACCGTCAAGGCTGACAACATCAGGCAGCAGCAGTGGCGAGGATTCTGCCTGGACAGTTTCGTAGCCGTTTGGAGTAGCACGGTTAAGTCTCACTGCAATAAGGGAATGTACCCCTTGGAGTACATGGCTAGCTATGTCGTTTCGTATTCCACCTTGTACTCTTATTTATATGTTTGTACTTGCAAGTTTTTGTCATCTCAATCATTTTACATTCACTCCGAATTGAGGTCAAGGGCCCACCAGCACTGCGAGTCCCTCAGATTGGTTTCAGGGCACACTCATCAATCAGTGCTGCACCTCCAAAAAAAAAAAAAAAAAAAAACTAATCAATCAATGCTTCCTGAAACATTTACCCTGATTTTTCAGTGCTCTTCTGATAGGCTTACTGATTCATCAGCCTAAATTTTCAAGACAACGTATATTGTCGCGTGAGTAGCGTAGCTGGTTAATGTCTCAGCTTGTGCAGAGAAGGTCATCGGTTGGAATCTCGTCACTATGTATAGTGCGACTTCTCGCTCACGGAAGATTTGAGGTTTTGCGGGAATATTGGACCGAACATTCCCTGTACGCATGGGAATCATGTACCTCCCTAAGTTTCACTCAAGTCATAATCACTGTGGTCGCCTCCACTATACTGGAAAAATCAGTGTGAACATGTAACGTAAACTGAAAAAACAATGTTAAGATATACAACATACTGAATCTTCCAGAAAACCAAAAGAAACAGCTGCATTTTCAGCACAATCAGAGTCTTTTACGCTGATATCTGAGGGCGTGACCAATATTCAGTCGTGTGCGAACCTTCCTGAGGTGATCCCAGGGTCGATCAACCTTTGATCGCGGTAGATTGCATGAATGAGATGTACAATTTGGTGCATTTAAAATCGTATTTACTCAATTAGAAGCGCATTACACAAGCGCGTCAAAGTATAATCTCACTTGTAGGCTACAGTGGGGCACTCCTTATGGGGTACAACACTTCTAGGGTTAGTACTTGTACCCTAACTCTTGCTAATCCAATCATTCCTGCACACTTATTCTGACATGGTATTCAGAGCAGGAAACCTGTTAAGTTTTTAGGGCCCACCGATCGTTTTGCTAGTTCCTGCCCGAAGCGCCCTTGCGCTGTCCGGCCCTCTCGCACAGTGTCATGCTGCCCTGCAGCTACTCGTACTGCCTGCCCTAGCGCGCTGCCCTGCTGTCACGCGTGCCCCTGCTGCCCGCGAGCAGCTCCTGCCCCGCGCGCCCCTGCTGCCTGCGAGCAGCCCCTGCCCCGAGCGCCCCTGCTGCCCGCGAGCAGCCCCTGCCCCGCGCGTCACTCCTGCCCGCGAGCAGCCCCTAACCCGAGCGCCCCTGCTGCCCGCGAGCAGTCCC